ATTCCTTTCGGCAAACGTCCACCACTGCAGCCAAGAAACTTGAGCACATATGTCGAGCACGAGAGGCGCGCAGGAACTCACAGCTTCGCGAATCGCGATGGATCCCGGAGGAATTGCACAAACTCTTCGAGCTCCTCCTTTGCTTCCTCTGCACCGTGTACATCCTTGAATTTGGTCGGCTGCTGCGAAGGTGCTGCCTTGAACTCGATCGCATTGACGTTGCCAGCTTTCTTGAGCAGGCTGGCACTGGACTGCATGATCGCGCCGATGCAGTAAAAGCCAATGTACACGAACAGCAGGACGATGAAGAGCTGCTTGATTATCCACAAGAAGCCGGCGTACAGTGATTCTGACCAGGTCTGCTCCGGCGTTCTGGTTTCTACGATAATCTTGATGGTCTCCTGAGTTGCGCCTGTGCTCTTGGCGCCGAGTAGAGCTGCAGATCCTGCGTATTCTGTCATCGGTTTGCCGCTCTGCAGATGACTCGCTACGGTCTTTGCAAGCTCTGCGCGAGGATGTGAAGACGATGTGGTTGCTTGGACATTGGCCGCCTGCGGACTCGGCACTGTGCTAGCTGCGCTACCACCGACGACCGAGCTGGCCAGCGGTACAGACGGAGCCGGCATATTGACGAGCAACGACGGGTCAGCGTATGTCATTCCAGGTGCGGTCGATTCCTCGGCAGGTTTCGAAGCAGATGCATCATCAGTGACGGCCAATCTGCCCACGCGCTTTGCGCCGACTGTCGCGATAGCATCCGTAGCCTGTGTAGGGCCCAGTTGAGCTTGCAGCGCAGTCTTGTAGTCTGCCCAGATGACCGTGTTGGTCAGCAAAGTGCGCTGGAGTGGCGTAGATTTGGCCTGATCAAAGAGACCGGTCAAGCTCTCGTAGTGTAGAACAAGCTTGCTCCTGCGATCGGCCGAGTCAGGCTTGGCGGCGAGTTCGTTGAGGTAGGCAGTCTGAACGTCGACGTCATGAGGGGCCTCGCCAGCTTTACGGGCCAGATCGTGTAGTCTGGCGTCAGCATCACTGACCTCTGCGCGATTCCAGAACGCCCAGGGCTGGCTGAAGATGCTAGTGCTCGCATGCCGTCGTGCCGATGCAGCTGGAGGGATCAATACGCTGGGCAAAGGCCGTCTAGATGGGTATCTTGTCGCCGAGCGATGCAGGGCATTCGAGCTATGTGACAGCCTCGTCTGGACCGGCACATAGATCGCTCGACGCTGACCAAGTCGTAACGGACGTTGGCCAGCGCCAGGCCGCATGAGCGAGCCGATCATCCTGCCCTCGTCGTGCTCGTCAGCGCGCGCAGTGACTTCCACACAGAGACTTGCAAGCCGAAATTGCGCCGCGTCATGCTCTCTGCGTGATCGGGTCGAACTCCGATGCCACCGAGGCCCCCGCTCGAGGACATGCCTGTCTTCGCCCTGCTCCCAACGATGCCTGTCTCCATCTTCTCAGCAGCTCTCGCGAAGATGTTGCACCTCGTCTTCATCTTCAGCCTTTGGGCTCTGCTCGGCGCGACATCACCACCAGACGACAAAGAGACGCTACCACTCTCGATCGCGCGCCCGTCACGACACTGGCGGCGCCACAAGCAGGCCAAGTCCCATCATGAGCGCCTCGAGAAGCAAATGCGGTTCGATTCACCGCAAACGCACGCTTTCGAATGGCCGGAGCCCATCTCAAGGTCAGCTAGCTGTCCCGCTTCTGCTGACGTTGATACTTGCTCCTCTGCACAGCACGGCGTCGGCTGAGACGTCGGGCAGTACACGCATGGCCATCTGCGACACCGGCATGCCGAGAATGCTGATGGGTAGAAAAGTTCAGCGCAAGGCTAGCCACGCGTGCTCGGTCACCAAGTCGCCTGCGCCTCTTGACGCTACATCAGCCGAGCTCACGCCTGTTCCCGCGCCACGCGTACCAGGCTTCCTCTACTTTCAGCTCGACAGCGAGACCATCAAGCCCGTTGTGCTCTCGTCGAATTACACGGATCAGCCAAGAATCCCGTTTTTGCTGTCTGCCGCGCACGATGCCACCCAAGTTTACATGGTCACACAGTCAGTCGACGCCTCGGAAGCCGCCAGAGCCGATCCCTGGCGAGCACAGACAGTCCAGCTTCGTCTGCCCGTCCTTTTGATGCCCAACCGGACGACTTATCAGGCCTGTGTGACTTTTGTGAGCGCTCAGATCAACTCGTTCTCACTGTTGCCTTGCAACACGATCGATCCTGCTCTTCAACGCGCGCAGACCTTCCGTTTCGAGGAGTTCAAGCTTTCGCCCAGCGCCGCCGAGCGCAACTCACAGACAATGAACGTCTTCTCGCAGGCAGGCAAGGTCGATGCATACGATCTCGACAGCCATACGGCAACGCTGATGTTCCAGCCGACCGCTTTCGCTGTATCCTAGGCTGATCAAACCATCATTGCATGGACCAATGGCTGAGCGCTGAGAGAGTCGCGGGGTAGTGTCACGCTTGCGCGCTTCTTGGCGCGCGTCGCTCCAAGATGAGATGGAGGGCCGTCGCTGCCCTGCGTGTAGCCAATGCGCTGCTCTGCCAGACCTTCTTCCAGCCAGACGAATACTATCAGACTCTCGAGGTAGCGCACAGGCTCGTGTATGGCTATGGCGTCAAAACATGGGAATGGCAAGCTAGTGCGCTGCGTTCGCCGCTTCTGCCGCTCATCTACACGCTGCCCTACGGGCTCCTGAGGCTCCTGAGGCTGGATCATGTCAACCTGCTTCTCGTCGGCTTGCCAAAGGTTCTCAACGGGCTCATCGCCCTCGCGGCAGACTATGGAACTTACGAGCTCTCTCTACGGCTCTTGGGTCCGAGGAGAGCAGATGCAGCGCTTTTGTGCTCTCTGGTCTCCTTTTTCAATGCCAGCGTCACCATCCGCTCGCTCTCAAACTCCGCCGAGACAGCCGTGACTGCACTAGCTCTGTCACTCTGGCCATGGCAGGCTTTGGCAGGTAGTACAGATGCAGAGGGGTGAGTGGACTGCTTTCTGACAAGCCTTCAGCGCTCATACGTATGCTAGCCTCGATCTGGCACTCGCTCTGGCAGCAGTGGCATGCATCATGCGGCCTGCAGCCACTCTTTTCTGGTTAGCGCTCGGCCTACATCTCTTCTGGCGCTCCTCAACGAAGCTATACGTGGCAGTCGTGGCTTCTGCGATAGCGACAGTCTCGGTCGTGGCCTGTGTGGCAATCGACTCGCTCTTCTACCAGCATCTGGTCTTCACGCCCCTCAACTTCGTTCGACTCAACGTGTCGGAGGGTCTGTCGAGCTTCTACGGCGTCAACAGCTGGCATTTCTACATATCGCAGGCTCTGCCGCTACTCTGCTGGGCTCTGCTACCCTTCGTCCTGGCAGGCTTTTTCACAAAGTCTGGCAATGCTCTCGAGCACCACGCCATCAGATCGCTGTCACTCGCCTCTACTGCCGCGGTACTGGCATACTCTTGCTTGGCACACAAAGAAATACGCTTCGTTCAACCACTTCTGCCCTTCATACATCTACTAGCAAGTCGGGCAGTGTCGAGTCCAACCGGCAAGACCCGCGCCCATCAACATATCGCCTGTTCAATCACCTTACCATGGCCTACTCGCATTGCTCTGATCAGTCTTTCGCTGGGACCTGCGCTTTACACGCTGCTTGTACACGGAAGAGGGCAAATTGCTGTCATGTCTTACCTCAACAGCCTACCGCCAGACGAGCTCAAAAGTGTTGGCTTCCTCATGCCATGTCACTCGACGCCATGGCAATCGCACCTCCATAGGTCCCATCTCGAGATAGCTGCGCTAGGCGGCAGCGGTCTAGCCGGTCGGGCATGGTATCTGACTTGCGAGCCGCCGCTCTCGTGAGCGATGAGACACTTTCCTTGCGACCATCGCTGATCATGTGCGCAGCGGTCAAGATCAAAGGAGCTACAAAGATCAGTCAGACTTCTTTTATGAAGACCCCATCACGTATCTCAAACGACGATTCCCTTACCCGCCCAACGATGAGTTTCCGCCAAGCCTCTTGCCAGATGTGCGCTCGCTGCAAGCAAAGTTCAAGACATCCGGCGATTTGGGATGGAGGCACGAATGGCCGACGCATTTTGTGCTGTTCGAGTCGCTCCTCAACAGTACTGCCAATCTAGCGTGGCAATTTCAGCACAAACATTACGTGCCGGTCAAACGCTTCTTCAACTCGCATGTGCACGAGGATCCCAGGCGAAGAGGCGACATCCTAGTGCTACAGTACAGGAAGGATGCATAGCGACTACCGATCGACTTGAACCGAATCGACTTCTATCACTGAGCCTGCTTTGACATCGAGTCCCTTGAGGGGCACGATCTGAAAGGTTGCCATAGGCTTATTGAAGAGCTTCAAGAGCTGGACCTGCTCAGGCGAGAGCGTCTGACCTGCCTTGCAGACGGTGAAGCCTCCTCCTGCGAGCGTCGGCACGCCTCTGATGAGCGAAGTCGGCATGCCAGCCTTCCTCAATTGCGGCTCGATCGAATGCGGCGCTGGTTCACCTTCCATGAGGACAGGCCCTGCTTGATGAACCATGAGCGCACTGCAGGCCGTACGACGACATCGTGCCACGCACCCTGAGGCAATTCAATCGTCTCCGTCGCGAGGTTGCCCGTCCGCGCGAAATCGGATTTCTTGTAGCTCTCAAAGTACTCGACGACTTCCTTTGGCGTACAGTCTGTGAAGAGCAGCCCGACGTTGCCTTCGAGCATCTGTCGAGCATGCACATGTAAGCTGACGCAGAGTGAGCCTGGACAAATCTGCCCACCTGGCCAATATGCGCGCTCCCCCTGGCGTGCTCGTCCTCTGCAGTAGCGCCGAGAGCTTTGCGCATCAGTCCGTTGCGACCCATGAAGATCTTGCTGGGCTTCCATGCCGCTCTGATCTCCTGAATGTACTGGTTACGAGTGTGATTGACTTGGAAAATCCAGACGAATTGAAAAGTGTCAAGCGCAAGCTGGATCTCTTCGATGAGCGCCCCCTTTTGCTCACGAGTCTTCTTCTTCGTCTTTGTCAGATCGAGCACCGTGTTCCGCTTCGACTTTGGCATCCTGGCTCCTCAAGAGGCAGGCTGCGCAGGCAGGGCAGGCAGGCTGGTGTCGTCAATTTATTGCAATTGCGCGCGCTCTTTAAGTTTTGTTCTCGACTTTTGGCAGACAGCAACCGAGTTTCGTCGGCATTTGCGACTGGCTTGAGCGGCTCGTGGACGTCCGGACATTGTGATCAGCATGGCCACCGTTGACCCCAGGCTCGCGGCCAATGGGCGTCAAGAGCGGCCCTATCTTGCAAAAGCGACACGCGAGTCCATCATCAGAGCCTCCGACCAGGCTCAGGCTTCTGCAATGTCATCCTCAGCATCACCATCGTTGTCATCATCGTCCAGTGTGCCTGTTCGCTTGCTCGCCTCACCGCGCCAGCAACGCGTCTTTTGCGTCGTCTGTGCAAGCAACATGGTCAGTCGGCCTCTCCTGCGCACAGTCAGTCGTTGGCTCATCGTCGGTCATGCGATCAGAACCGCTCCATGGAGGGGCACAATGTGCTAGCGTGAGCCCTGACACCCGTTCCAAGGTTTCCCGCCGAGCTGACAATCGTCTTATACAGCCAAGCCAATTTCAATGTCATCTCTGCGGGCACGGGGTCCATGGTCAGGCTGCCTGGACCGGCACTCGATCGACCCAATGTTTACGCGTTTGGCACGCCATACGACGATATGATGGCCGACCTCAAGTCAAAGGACGAGAAGCTGCAAGTCCTCCATTCGACGAGTCAAGCGGGTCGCTGACTCTGCAGAGCGACAGCTATACCTCATATGGACTTATGGCCATGCTCGAACGCAACCGCGTCCTCAAACGTGCACCAGAACGGTGGCAGGACAGTGCTGCCGTGGCTGATATCGTCATCACGTGCGAAGAGCGCTGTTACGAAGCAGTCTGCGAAGGCATGCCGCTCTTTCCTACCTCTCTCATCTCGAGACTTACAGGCTCGGCAGATCTCCTCAGTCGCGGCGGCGAGATGAACCGGCCGGTGCACGTCATCAACGTTGAGATCAAGGATAATCACGAGGATGCACTCGTGGCTGGAAAAGCGCTTCTGGATCTCTGCCAGGCTGTACGCACATGGCGCAGTCTAAGTGTACAGTATGCTTATCGACGACACAGATTGATGCCGCCGATGACGCCGATGCAGACATGGAAGCCATCATTGACGCTCATCAAGAAAGACACCCTCAGACGGTCATGCACACCCTGGCCTGGTACTGACACCCATGCAGGACCGAGCTACAAGCTCTTGTGGGAGACTATCGCGCCCGTTCGCTTGAATCCGCTCAGACCGCCTTGCGAACGGCTGCCAGCCGATTGACTCGACGTCTGTCTACGCAGCGGCGCTCGACCGTCGACCGGCCTTGGTTGGGGTCTACCGCCTTGCGACCCAGCTCTCTGTTCCTGACGAGCCTTGCCAAAGCTAGTGACCGAGCTCGACTTGCCGATGATGATCCCGCGATTGTCAGATTGCGAGTCCTCCCTATCTAGCTTTTTGTAAAGTCCGGAATTATCGCGTCTGTTTGCACGCGAGGGAGCCATTCGATAGCCGAGCTGCAAGTGGTGCGTTTAGTATCACATATTAACTGATCGGGCAAGAACTGCACTCACATCGATATCATCAAAAGCGTCGCGTGATGGTCTCGTGAGCGTCTTGGGCGCAGACTGCAAGTCTTGAAAGACTATTGTTGTCTGAGGAGAGCTGCTAGTATCGGCAACCGTCTTGCCGAGCTCGGGATCGACAGACGTGTATCGGCTTCGAGGCAGGACACGAGAAGCACTGTCGACCTGAGCAGCCTTCGCAGCTCGGGTCTGGCGGGGCTCTCCTTCATCCTCGACGATGAAGTTGCGATCAGCTTCGTCTTCTTCGTCTTCATCTTCTTCGTCGTCTTCTTCGGTCTGACCTTTCACGCGTTGCACAAGATTGCCTTCCTCGTCGCTCTGCAGACCTGCCATGTCGTCAGGCTCGAGAAACGCCACATCCTCTTCTTTGGTCTCGCAATGCAAGCCGCCATTATACGTTTGGGCAAACGATGCTGTCTTTGGATCAGCGGCTGCAGTCATGATCAGCAAAGAGTGAGTCAAGCACAGTAGAAAGACTGACAGATGGTCTCCATCAGGTCGCCCTCGACTTTTCGCTTCTTGATGATGCGAGGTCGGTCCGCCCGCCCAAACTCTTCGTCAGAGTAATCTTCGTCGCTCAGATAGTCCCCTTCACGTCGCTTGCTGCGCCACTTGCCGTCTGCTTGTGCTTGAGCGAGCTTGAGAGCTTTCGCGTCGTCCTGCTCTGCCACTTCGGCAAACTTCTTCCGGACGAGTAATTCGTCCTCGACTTCGTCCTCCTCGTTGCGCTTCTCGTCGTCAAACATCTCCTGCACAGAGCCCGCGTCATCGTCTTCTTCGTCCTCTTCGTCATCTCGCGTGTCACGACGAAGCATGCCGCCATCTTCCTCTTCAGATTCGATCGCACCATCATCGATAAAGTCACTTTTCTCCAGTCGAGGTCTCGTCGGCTTAGGGGCCGCTTGTCGCGCGGCTGCATCTTTCATCACTCCGAACGCGTCCGTAAATCGTCCTCCGGTCGTTTGATCGACTTCGCTGCGCGACATAGTACGCTGGCGCTCTGCAAGAGGACTTGTGCTGGCGCTTTCCAAGATGCGCGTTAATTTCCTTCTTTGTTCGATCACAGGCGATGTCGTTCCTGGAGCACGATATGGGCGAGAGCCGGGAGGAAAGTACTCGCTCGGTGACTCGGGCGAGGCAGCGAAGACATCGTGCGGCTGATGTTGAGTAAGCAAGCCTTCCTTATTTAGCCAGCGGCGCTCGAGAATCTCTTCAGGCGAGACTTGCTGATTGATAAAAGGAGCTTGCGCCTCGATAAGTGCTGCGTCTTCGCGCCTGCCAGCCTCATCGAGCCGTAGGGCAGGCAGCAATGAGACAGCAGGGAGCAAAGCTGCAGTAGAGGGTTTGTCGAAAAGCTAGCCTTTCCGGTCAGCTTAGCGAGAACACAGCAAATGAGCGGACTGACATTGATATTTGAGTCGGACGGACTAGCCGCGGTGCTGAATAGTTGGGTGAAGCCGCCGCTCGGAGATCCAAACTCACAGGCTGCGCCATTGCTGTCAATAGCTACTAGGGGAGTGCGGGCTGCATTCTCCGATCGTTTACCGGGGCCTTGAGGTCTCAGACTGCTGGATGGCACGTTCTCTTTGTCAATTTCAGAGTTCTCTTCGTCACTGTCGGGCGCTCCTATCTGAGATTCCGCCTCGGCGCCGTCATCGTCATAAGCTTCGGATCCGCTGCCCAAAATTGTCGCGTCCTCATCGCTCGGCACTTCAGCAGCCTCGCAATCGGCGTCCTCCTCGCCTTCGTCATCGTCGTCAGCTTGTGGTAGGGCTGCTTCCGCCTTCTTCTGATCCCACAAAGCTGACATGGTCGTCTGCTCTTCTGCAGCATCGTCTTTGACACCTTGAACTTTGAGCTTGCCACCAGCGCTCGCCCATTCTGCTTGTTTTTGTTGTCTGGCTGCACGGCTTTGTTGACTGGCCTTCGCCTGCAAAGATCTCGCCACGCTATGGCTGCTGACCGAGCTGACGACCGAGTCGCCTCGACGAGCTTTGTTGTCAACACCACCGCCGAACGCCTTGGCAGATTTGTACAGCTGACTGTCGCTTGCGATACCGATGTCGGATTGCTTTGCCCTCGTCTTTGCTAGCTCGCGCGACTGCTTGAGCGACGCGATCTTTCGATTATACGCCGACATGCTTGTGCGCTCTTTCTTGTCAATACGCGCTGCAGGCAGCAAGACGATCTCGAAATCATCTTCGTCGCCTGCAGCTGTCGTGTGTTGTGCTCTGGCCGCTAATTCTTTCTGCTTGCGCAGAGACGCCTGCCGCTCTTCCCGCTGGCGTTGTAGCAAGCGCCGAGCGGTGTCCATCTCAAAGGCACGATCTGCGTCGGGAAGCTCGTCATCGTCATCACCGTCGGCGTCGGCGTCGAGAGAGCCTACGCCGCCAGGTGATGCGACCTCATGCGTGGCATATGGAGCAATGATTCGAGCAGTCGTCAATGGTGTCGAAGCAGGATGATTTATCGAGGAGGTATACTCAATAGAGCTACTTGGCGCGAACGCGGGCGTTTTGGACGGCTCATCGCGAGCGCGACCTTTGCCTTTCGACGGGCTTACGGTCTGAGGTATGTGCCTCTTGCTCTCCAAATGAGCTACATCCTGTGCGTAGGCTTCGCGAGTAAAGGACTGCGTCTGAGATTGCAGGTAGGCGGGATCGTACGACTGTGCTTGCTCATCGCGTTCGGTCCGCTTTGTATGAGATGCAGATGCTTGCCCAGCTTTATGTGACTGCACGCGCGCAGCCAGGCTGCCAGAGCTTGCGGAGACTGGCGAGGTGGCATCCTTCTCAGGTTGCGCGTACACGACGCCTGGTGATCTGCTCGAGCCGTCATCAGCTTCGTAAGGTCAGGTTTTACGCGGCTGAGACGTACGCGTCCGTGATAAGCTTTTCTGCGATAGACGTGATCGAATTGCGTAGAGGCTTTGCTTCCTTGCGCTGCATTCGCGCGTACCTGGCCGCGCGCGCTCGTGCACTTTCTCTATTAGTTTCTTCCCGGTCCTTCTTGGTCGGGCGCTGCTGGTTATGTCAGCAATAATGTATGCGACGACAGACAAGACTGACTTTAATCTTGCGCGTCTTTTCGGCCGCTCCTGAGCTTGAGGAAACGATAGTGGTGACGAGGCTAGCCTGTTCCGCTGCCTTGAGCTCCGCATCGAGATCGACATTAAGAAATGTAGCGTCCTGTCCTTGTTGCGCACGGACACGGGCAGCGAGGTCTGCGAGTCGAGCAGCTTTGGCTTCTTTCTGGGCGCTCGGTGAAAGCCCTCCTGCCAAGGTTGACGGGGCATCATCATCATCATCATCATCCTCCTCAGCGCTATCCCTGTGCCGCTGCTCGCTTTCGCTGTCTGAATTCGGCATGGGTGAGGGATACCTCAAAGCTGACTGTGCTAGGTCATCTTGGTCGTCATCGTCCGAGTCTTCTACGATTCGTTTGCGCCGTAAGGATGGCAAGATGACATCTGCTTTGCGATTGGAGCTCTGCCTAGATCGCGGTCTTGACTCGAGTTCTTGCACGACAGAAGTAGACGAAGAGGGAGCCCTTTCTCGATCAGTATCGCGACCAGCTGCATCTGAGCTTGATGAAGATGATGGCGCGTCAGTAGCATCTTGGGCGAGAAGAGACAGGGCTGGCAGCGGCGTTAAATCAGACAGAGTCGCCTCGCGCGTCGACTGCGCTGTCCCTAGCGTGCTATCCGGCACGCTGGACAGCGACGAGCTATACGCTAGCTGCATTTTGCTTCGTGGTAGCGATGTCACGGTGGCGATCTTGCCCGGCTGCAAGGGTGCGACAGAAGTCCGAGCAACACAGACCGCCGATTCGGCGTATAAGTGAGAGTCTTCCCGGTCGTCAATGTCGCGAAGCGCATCAGCAAGCGATGGCCGAGCTGTGTAACGGTCGAGGTAATTTGGGCGCATGACAGCACTGAGGTTGGCATCGTGTATGTCGTCGGTATGTCTGTCAATCCCAGTGGAGGCGTCAGAGTCGGACGATTGCTCGATGGTTCGCCGTGGCTGCATTCGCCCCACAGTGTGACTTGCGGTCAGCCTGACAGGATCGCTTGATTGCGTCTCGCCGACAGAGGAGAGTTCTGAGCTCTTGCTGGACACCAGACCATCACGAGGCGCGTTGGGTCTGTCCGTCAAGCATAGCGAGCTTGGCAGTGACGACAAGGATGACGATGGACCGGCGCTCATCTCGCAGAGGGCGCTCAGCGTATCGCCAGCCGGGTGCGAGCACGCGCGCTCTTTTCTGAGTCGCGATCGCACGCAGCGCGACTGTCGTGATCAGAGCTGTATACTGCCACTTACTGTCCCCGCTGTCTCGCGCTAGCTGCGGGGTCCGAGCCCATCAAGCAGCAGCAGGTCGGCTCGAGAGGAGTGCCTCTCGTCGCTCCATGGACGATGTCTTTGGCGAGTGTATGCACGACGAGAGCTTGCATCTGGAGCGACGCTTTCATTCGGCGGGCTATCGCGAAGGCATCACTGCCGGCAAGCTTGCAACGCTGCAAGCTGGCTTCAACGACGGCTACCAGACTGGTGTGCCCCTCGGCAAGAGGCTGGGCGAGATTCGCGGTCGACTGACTGCTCTCATCGCTATTGCCACTATGCTCAGATGTCCGGCAGACAATCTGCGAGGACTGCTCAGCGACGCCAACAAGCTGAGCTTTGCTGAGCTGGCTCCACCAGACGCAGAGGCCGAAGAACACGCACGACTCGAGCATGGCGAGCCCTTTGAGATCTCACCTGAGCTAGACCCACACAGTAAAGTTGACCTGCTTGCGCACGCGATGAATACGCTATCATCGGACGACTCAACGCCAAAGTCTCACCTGTCAGCTCAGCAGCAGCTATCACGCATGGAGACCAGCCTGTCCGCTGCGCAAGCTGATCTCGGAATCTGACGCAATGGCAGCGCTTCATACGAGAAAGCAATCCTCCGCGCCTTTGCACACGACTGAATCATCGAGCGGCTGTTTCAAAGGCATTCAGACCTGGTGTTAGCATCTGCCTGAAACTTCGCATGTCACTCATTCTGCCGTCAAGGAAGTCGCCCATCAGATGCACGATCAAGCAGAAGATTCAAGTCGATTCTGCATTGATACAAATTAGGCGAGCTACTCGACGAAGGAGGTCTAAATTGGGTCGCAGTGAGCCTCGCTTGTCCAGGTGACAGACCAGAATGATCACCCTCATGCAGCATGACGCCGGGTCGCGTCGCGTTTTAGTTGGCAAGTGACAGACGGAGTCTACCCAGCTGAGGACGTATTGATTTGAGATGGCTGATAAGCTGGCCTGTCATGATCGCATGTTGTGACCGCTCTGCAGGCGACAGCCCACGCATACTGCTTATCGGAGTGGCTGGTCAAACGCGTTGACACGATAGCGTGACAAAGAGCAATTAAGGGCCCGTACGATTTCGAATGGTAAATTTTTGTGGTATAGTAAAGTAAATTCTTGCTCACAGGCTACCTGAGAGCAAATTTGCCTCGAGAATTTACTTTACTATACTATTTTTTGAAATCGTACGCACGAGCAAAGTAAAAAGCAGAAGTATAGTAAATTGGGGCGGAGATGGCGCGGAGACGCACCGCACACCAGTCGCCTCCTCCACG